TATATATATATATATATATATATATATATATATATATTCTTTTATATATACGTGTATGTGTGTATGTATGTGTATATGTGCATGTGTGTGTGTGTGTGTTTGGGGGGGTGCTACTGGGGATTGAACTCAGGGCCACTGAGCCACATCCCCAGCCCTGTTTTGCATTTTATTTAGAGACAGGGTCTCTAGAGTTGCTTAATGCCTCACTTTTGCTAAGGCTGGCTTTCACCTCGCAATCCTCTTGCGTCCCGAGCCACTGGGATTACAAGCGTATGCCACTGTGCCCAGCAAAAACTTTATATTTAATTTTATAAACTATTAAGATATTTATGCAAAATTATACTTTAAAATCTGTGCCATATTCTCTTTGCCATTTTGGATTTGCTTTATAAACCATCTTTTATTCAAATAATAATTTTAATTAGGGCTTAATTTTTTAACATATTCCTATTTATTATTTGTAGAAGATCAAGAAAGTCTTAAAACACCGGCCTTTCTAAATGTGAGGAAGAGGAAGAGAGTTACTTTTGGAGAGGATCTAAGCCCAGAAGTGTTTGATGAATCTTTGCCAGCAAACACTCCATTGCGTAAAGGAGGAACACCTGTCCGACAAAAGGATTTGAGTAGTGTTAGTCCTCTGCTACTTGAGCAATCACCAGTTCCTGAGCAATTGCCTCAACCAAATTTTGAGGACAAGGGGGAGAATCTTGTAAGTGTGATGAGTGCAGAACAAGCTTGTTGGATTTTCTTCAGGTCATACCTGTTTTGTATGGGCAGTAGCTATGCTTTGAAGTCATGAGGTAGACTAAATGAAGTGCCACCGTTTTTTTTAATTTTTATTGTTGGTTGTTCAAAACATTACATAGTTCTTGATATATCATATTTCACACTTTGATTCAAGTGGGTTATGAACTCCCATTTTTACCCCGTATACAGATTGCAGAATCACATCAGTTACACATCCATTGATTTACATATTGCCATACTAGTGTCTGTTGTATTCTGCTGCCTTTCCTAGCCACCGTTTTTTAAATCTAGTTTCTATGTAGATTTTTTTTTTCCTGTTTTTCCCTCTTACAAACAATACTTCCATGATTCCTTGTACATAGCATATTTCATGGGACTTAACTGCTGTAAGATGTACCATTGTTCTTATCAGGTCTTTTGGTCGCAGCAATGCAAAAGCTGACCAAAACAGGAAAAGTTGTATGATCATCTCAGTAGATGCGGAAAAAGCATTTGACAAAATCCAGCATCCATTTTTGAGGAAAAAAAGAAAGAATTAGAGCAAGCAGATTTAGTAAAGGATATTTCTTCAAATTGACCAATTTTATCTATGAAGTCCATGGTCTGTGAACACCATGGCAATTAATGTGTTTATATTGCCACTTTATCCTTTAAGTTCCAGGAATAATATTGTAATGTTAGATTTTATTTATTATTAGGTTTTCTTACTTACTTTGCAGGCTTTAAACAAAAGTTTTTGTTTGTTTGTTTGTTTTGTTTTTTGATGGTACTGGGCATTGAACCCAGGGCCTTTGCATATAAAATTTAGTGCTTTGCCAATAAGGTACTGTCCCCAGCCCTTTTTAAATTTCGAGACAGGTTCTTTCTAAGTTTTCCAAACTCGCCTCAAATTTGTGATCTCCTGCCTCAACCTCCTGAGTAGTTGGAGTTACATGAGGGCTTCACCATGCCTGGAATGATGTGAATTTTTTTTTTTTTTTTTTTTTTTTGAGAGAGAGAGAGAGTGTTTGTTTGTTTGTTTGTTTGTTTTTAATATTTATTTTTCAGTTTTCGGTGGACACAACATCTTTATTTTATTTTTATGTGGTGGTTAGAACCCAGCACCCCGTGCATGCCAGGCGAGCACGTTACCGCTTGAGCCATATCCCCAGCCCCATGTGAAATTTTTAATAAACCAAAAAGTAACTTATCAATGAATCATTAAGCAACTTTCACTTTTTAATAGAAATTTTGGTGGATTATAATTACTAACCATGGTTTCATTATAAAAATGATTGTTCAGTGTTATAAAGAACATGTATTTTTAAATCTAATATCGTTAACTTCTCTTTAATCTTATTGCTTATTATAATCTTATTACAATTCCTCTTACCCAAATAAGACATTTTTCTTTTGGGCAAATTATTTATATATTAACTGAATTTAAAGATATCTAATTTCTACCACTCCCCCATCCCCGCCCCCACTTTGTTTAGGAAAACATAGAACCACTTCAGGTATCATTTGGAGTTCTGAATCCTTCCGTTTCTGAGAATCTCTCAGGTATGACTTATATTTGTTACAGCAATTTATGCTTGGTTTTAAAAAAACAAACTACCACTGTAGTTATTTAAAAAGTTTATGGGAAGTTGCTTATCTATCCCTTTCCATTCTAAGTCCTATAATCACCCACTTTTAACTTTCTGTGATGGAAGTTAAATCTTGAAAATCCTTTTTTGAAGTGCTATGGGACTCTCAATTCTTAAGTATCAACAGTAAGCGCCTATCATATTTTGCACAACTGGAATGATTTGAATTGTAAGATAAGGGTTATTCTTAAAGATCGAAAATGTTTCATCAATATTAGCATGGCGTTTCTGGCACATGTACTTCCAAGGACCTTATCTTTTATTAAGGCAGCAGAGATTGCTCCCAGCTCTTCTTACAAACCAGGCATTGGTTGGTAAATGTTATAGATTGGGCTCTTGGAGTGGGAACGATTACTCAGCCTTACTTCCCTGGTTGCAATCCTTTAATGGGTTCTTGTTGACACCAGCCATCTTATGAGCACAGAATCCAAGCTATATATTATTAAGTTTGTGCTAACTTTTGAGCTGTATGTAGTCTAATCACTTTCCAAAGTCTTAACTCTTAAACTCATTATAGTATTTTTTATAGTACTTTTTTATAAAACAAATCAAAAATTTTCTTTTAATTAAGCAAGATATATTCATGGTTATCTTAATGCTATTATAATTTCCTTTACAAAATATAGTTTGGAATAAATGGATATCTATGAAAATAGCATGCATTTATCATAATATGTGGTATTGTGGTGTAATTTAGTCTGTTAGCATGATAATATGTTAAGCATTCACCATAGAAAGTGATGATATTCAGAAGCTTAAAGTGTTCTGAATTTTTAGATCTCAAAAATTATTCCTCTTGGTAATTGTTTATGTCTAAATATGATATTAAAAGTGAGTGTATCTAAAAGACTGTTCAGTATTTCCCAAAGCTGGCTCATGTTATCATTTTGTGTTAGCAACTTGATTTTGTTTGTGTCTTACTTATCAGGCACTGATACCTTTAGTTCTTCAAATAACCACGAGAAAGTGTCCTCCCGTAAAATTGGTAGACTAACACGGACTTCTGGCAGAAGAAATGTAAGTGTTTATATTAAATCTTACAATATATTTTTTCTATATTCATGATCAGATGATAATGGGTAAAATCTTACTTTAATGAGTATTATTAAAAATTAAATCTTAATCTATTTAGCATGTAATCCAGAGTAGTAATGTTTACTGATTTGATTTTAAATTCTGTTATTAGTTATCTTGGCACTTAGGTGGCATTTGGCAGTTGTCTCAAATTGTTAATGTGAGAGGTAATCCCTTTGAAATTTTTAAGAACTGTGTAATTTTATGAATTTCATTGAGGTGAATGTGGAGGAGATTAGCTTGTAATTAACAGAGCTGGAAAATTACATAAGCACAACTCCTCCTTAAACTGCACTTCATTTTAACACTGAGTTTCAACTGGAAGTTATAAGCATAATGCTCATTGAATGCAAGTCTTTTTCTATTATGTTAAATTGGATTAAATTGGATTTTTGCTTATATCATATTGTATAAACATATATTTTAATGTCATAGAACTTTTAAGTGATAAGCCCATAATTCAAACATAGAATCTTACAGTTCACAATTTTCTTTCTTGTAACCCAACAATAGTTAAGTGCTAAATTGTAGGTTCTCCATAAATATTTGATGAATAAATAAATCTTCAATTTTCTTAGTTGAATTTTGGTTAAAATGCCACTAGTGGAATTTGTGAATTAAGAAGAAATGGGATGTAAAATGATAGGAGCATCATGGGAAAAAGAATAATAGAGCTTTACATTAAAAATGTGACTGCTTGGGCTTTATGGGATCCTTGCTTTAAATTTTTCTTACAGCAATTGATCAGTTTTGCAGAGGAGAACGTTTGTAACTTACATAATGCAGAAACTAAGTCATGTAAGGAAAAGAAAATTAATAGGAGGAAGTCTCAAGAAACGAAGTACAGAAACAGGGCACTTCCTAAAAAGAATCAGGTACGTATGTTTTTTTAAAGATGTAGTGTATTTTAAAGAAGTAGTGTATTTATTTGTTTTGTATGATAAGGAAAATATGGAAACAATATTTTTCCAGTTAACATTGGACCAAGATTATTAAAATCATGTTATTCTAGTGTAGAACCATCCATAAGAAGTTGTATACTCAACTATGAACTACCTGAGGGATATTTTTGCTTCTGTTTCATTTTGTGTTATATATATCTTGCATAATAAATAATCTTTGAGTCTACTTTAACCCCTCTATTGGGAATTCTATTTTTCCCCCCTTAAAATTTATTTTTATTTTTATTTTTTTGGTTTTAGGTGGACACAATATCTTTATTTTACTTTTATGTGGTGCCCCGCGCATGCCAGGCGAGCGCGCTACCGCTTGAGCCACATCCCCAGCCCCTTAAAATTTTTAATGGATAGGAAATGTTATGAAATAACTGCCAGGTCACATAAATTCACATTGTTTTTTTTACTGTTAATTATCCCAGATTATACACACTATTGGTTGATGCCATCTGCGTGGGTGTTTTCGTCTGTTGTTGAGTGTGTCCTGAGTATGAGCCACGGGCCCATGTACATGGTCCAGAAAAGAAGGTGACTGTTTGGCAGGCTTCAGATCTGCTTTTCTTTTAGCCTGGGCTCCAGTCTTGGTCTTAAATGATAGGGTTCTGTAGGAGACATTGATCTGTTTTCACTTAGGTGGCATTTGGCAGTTGTCCCAGCTCAGGTTGCATCCAACCCAGTTTGTCCAGTGCATACTTGTTGAACTGTGCCTGTTGTTTGCTACGGTGACAAGTAACTGTCACAGATCATTGGATGACGATTCTGTGGAAGCCTGTGCACTGTGGAGCCTTATCTGTCTTGGCGCATTTTTAGCCCCACCAGTGTGCACTGCTGTGCTCTTCCCAGCATGATGGCAGTGGCCTGGACGCTTGAGGAGGCACCTTCAGCTCCTGACTTCTCAAACTCCCCTATCAACCAACTGGCCAGGAGGGCCACATAACACCTGTGCATTCCCTGATTACTCAGACAGGGATGAATGCACTATCTGCTATTTGTTGGACTTCTCTTCTAGTCACAGGGTCACTTCTCATAGAAATTTCTAAATTTAAGTCTCTAAACTTAGAAATTTGATCTCAGTCTTCCTCAGTACTTCAGTCATCCCAAATGCCTTCTACTATCCATGTGCATGTCTGATCTAATTCCTCAACTCTAGTCCTTTATCCTCTCCACTTTGGGGATTTGGACTGCACTTCTCTGAAGTCACTCGCTTCCTCTGCTGCACTTCAACTTGTTACTACCTTACACCTTACTGTTTCTAAAAATACTCTCTTGCATACCTCCTTCTCTGACTCCAACTCCTGTCTTCCCCTTCCTCATTCCCTTTCCTATGTGTCTGTTCTACTAATGATCATCTGACCCCCCTCTTTATTCTCTAATTTTCAGATACCTATGATTTCATATTTCCCTCTTCTTCCTGAACTTCTTGAACCATTTTCAACAATTCTTGTCAGTTATCTCAATTCTATATCCTTTTCAGCAACATTTCAGCTCTGAATTCATTATTCCCTTTAGAGAAACAAATGCACACAGATGTTGGGGGCAGGTACTACTACAAATCAGTATTTCAACTATTGTCTGAAGTGGTACATTCACATTGGTGAAGTTGCTGCAAATTGCCTCTTAAATGTCATTATTCTTCCAGGGTATTTAATAATTTACTAAAAAATCCATACATGCTTTTTAGTCTTTTTCTTGCTTGATATAATTGGACACTCCTTTACAGTCTCTGTTAGAGGTTGATTTTTTTTCTGAACCCATCCTTAACTATTTATATTCCTTAGAATTCTCTTTGCCCTTGTAAATTGTTTATTTTCTAGCTGGGTGGTTCTGTATGCAGCATGGTCCAAAGACGCAATCTGCCTGGTCCATAAATATATGTTCAATTACCTTCTAGACATGTCTTCCCAAATCATCTTGTAAACATTTTATAATCAACAGTTCTAAACTAAACTCATCAGTTTTACATCCCCCCCTCCACACACATCCACACACAAAGCTATGAATTTCTCTCTTTTTCCTCCACTCTTGGTTGAATGGCATAGATACCTTTGAATCATCAAATTCAGAGGAAATTATAAATTTTCCTCGTTTGTTTGCTTTTAATAAACTATTGAAAGTTCCTCTTTCTGAAAACAATACGCAGAAATTGAAAAACTTGCATACAACTCACTGCATTATAAATTGATTTCCTTCATATCTATACTTTTAAAAAATAGTTTCATATCATGTGCATTTATTCATATCAAATCATTGGCCAGAAGGTTCAAGGAGGATTGTGCATGAGATTGCACCAACCCTTTTGAGGACCCTGCTGAATTAATCTATAATAAAAAGAGAACACTTAGAATAGAAATTAGAACTTTAAAAAACATTTTTTAAAAAAAGTAGTAATGAGAAGAGGAAGGGGTATTAAGCAACAGATGACAGCCTTCAATGAATTTCTAGAAGACAAAGCAGATGGGAACATATTGACAGAAGAGGTGGAAACATTTGCAGTTCAGAATGTGCTAGGAGAGAACTAGAGGGATGTGGGAACCAGCCCGCTATGGGGATCCCAAGAGACTCTGGGCTCAGAATTGGCAGGTATAATGGATGGTGAGAATGAGAAGTGGTATTAAAAAAAAAAAAAAAAGATTAATTGAAGTTCTATATATGGAATAGTTTGCACCAGTAGGCATGCCACCCCCTCTTCCACCCTGATACTCAGAACAGATGTTGTCATCTAGGTTATGGCATTTGGAAAGTCCCACAATCTTGACAGCAGCTCTTATCCTAAAGCAAAGCCTGGTAATTGATACCACCATATTGCCATGCCCCCTATCCTATACAGGGTTCCTAGGTAGTTTCCATGTAGGAAAGAGACTGAGCTAGAAAGTATGGAAACCCATACTAATTTACCCATTTGTTTCTTAAAAATCAGATTATTGAGTGGAACCAATAGCATGAAAGAGATAAGATCAATACTAGGGAGCTTCTCTGACCCCAGAGATATAGGTTATTCAGGGAATGAAAGCGATACATACAAATAAATCGATAGATTGTTATACTTGGATTTCAGAGAAAAAAATTGCATAAAACTAAGAAAGGGATGCTTTAAAAAAGGAACAGAAAAGTAATTGTAAAAATAGAAAATTTTGGAGGTTGTGGATGGCTCCAAGACAGTGCTGCTGGCCTGGATGTGAGGTATCCCCTCAAGGTTACTGTCTGTATAGGAATATTCAGAGGTAAAATGATTAGATTATGAGAGCCATAACCTAATTGACCCGACCCATTCTAGTTTGAATAGACTGGGCGATACTTGCATGCAGGTGGGGCATGACTGGAGGAAGCGTGTTATGGGGGCATGCCCTGAAAAGGTGCATATTCCTTACAGCCCTTTCCCTCTTGCCCTCCCTCTGCTCCCTGATACCACCACCAGCTGAATAGTTTTCCTCTGCTGGGCTTTTCTTCCATGATGTGCTGCTTAACTTTGAGCCCAGAGCAGTGGAGTCAGCCATCTATGGACAAATCTCTGAAACCATGAGCCCCAAAGAAACTCTTCCTCTCTAAGTTGTTCTTGACAGGTATTTTGATCACAGCAGTAAAGATCTGACTAAAACATATATATTTTTTGTACTTGGGTTTCAGAAAAAAATCAATCTCGATAAAACTAAGAAAAGGATGCTATGAAAAAGGAACAGAGAAAAAAATAATTATAAAAATAGAAAAATTTGGAGTTTGTGAATGGCTTTAAGATAGTGCTGCTAGCCAGCATCTGTCCAGCGGCTCTCACAGTTGAATACCCCACTTAGCCCCTCTAAGCCAGTGGCCCTCAATAAGGGATCTAGGCCGTTGCACCTCCAATCGGTCACAGCCTCCCCTATAGATCACCTATGCTGAGGCAGAGATGATGAGCTGGCAAGTGCATTTATTCATATCAATAATGATGCCACTAGTTTAAGAGCAGAGCCAGCAGCATTGTGTATGATGGTCTTGATTCAGGTAAACTCTGCTGCTTGGTCCTAATAGATCTGAATGCTCCCAGCAGGAAGGATCTGAAATGATAGAATGACACCATTTCTTCATGGTCAACAGAAAGTGCAGTGCCATCAGCAGTGGCAGAGCCCTCTTAGATTATGTGGGCTCTGTGCCTTCTAATTGCACAGAGCTCCACTGCTGTATCTGACTGGTTCACAGCAGGACAAGCTACTGACAAAGTACAAGCCCATTCTCAGCAATTGATCTAGAGACCATCATGGCGAATTCAAGATGGCAGCTTTTCATAGAAAAGTTGGGGCTGGGTTCCCCAGTGTTCAAGCAAATGTTACCAGTCCAGATGCTCCTAGGCTATGTGAGCAGCTGTCCAGGAAGCAGGAGAAACCCAGAGATTTAAACGGTCCAGTAGCCCCACATGGTGTCCTCGAGTTCAGTGGTATATGTACATTTCTCCTTTTAGGCTCCTGTTTGCAGACATGAGACCCGAGCTGTATCAGATAGTACTTTAGGGTGACTTTTCCTACTGTCTGAACTTTCTAATTCTGAATAGTCATGTGTTCACATTTGAACTCCATTTGGGTGATATTTGGGTACTGTTAGGGTCATCATATTGCTAATGTAAGAATAGCAACCTAGAAATTAAAGAAGAAAATATCTGGCTAAAAAGACCGTATCAAAAGGAATATAGCAGGGTATCAGGTAATCTTTGGGAGGTTTGAAAAGAAAGATAAGGCTTTTCGTAACCTCTGCCATTGTGATCCTGAGACTAGACCTGCACAGTGGCATCTTCTAAGATGTGTTTGTGGTGTTGTCTCTCACCAACATGACCGGAGGCTTGTGTTTCAGCTAAACCCCATCATGGTTTTTCCTTTAAAGAGTAATTCTAGAAAAACAACAGGGAGAATGACTCTGGTACTGATGAGGCCTGGCCATCTAGACGTGCAGCA